TGAGCCACAGCGCCACTTCCGGCTTTTTTTCTTTTTGCTTATGTGGTACTGAGGAATCGAACCCAGGGCCTCATGCATGCAAGGCAAGCACTCTACCACCCAGCCCTGAATTTTTCTTTCCTTTAAAGTAATACATAGATTAACAAGTAATCTGATGCCAGACACCAGTGGCTCATGCCTGTAATCCTAGCTATTCAGGAGGCTGAGATTTTAGGATTACGGTTCAAAGCCAGCCCTGGCAGGAAAGCCTGTGAGACTCTTATCTCCAATAAACCACTAGAAAACTGGAAGTGGCATTGTAGCTTAAGCGGTAGAACGTTTGCCTTGAGCTGAAGAGCTGAGGGTCAGCTCCCAAGCCCAGAGTTCAAGCCCCATGACCGACAAAAAAAAAAAGTAATCTGACGGACAGGGTCCTGATGGCTCACGTCTGAAATCCTAACTCCTCAGGAGAGCTCAGGATCAGAGTTGGAAGCCTGCCTAGGAGGACAAATCTATTCAACTTCTGTCTCTAATTAATCAGCAAAAAGCTGGAACTGGAAGAGTAGTTCAAGGGGTAGAGTGCCAGCTGTGAGAAAGTTGAGGGAGAAAGAAAGAGCTCAAGGCCTTGAGTTTAAAGCCCCAGTACTGGCACCAAAAAAAATAAAAGTATTCTGACAGGTGAGCATGGTGTATGAATGTTAGTACTGTTGTTTGGAGAAAAGTCATGAATCTGATTTCTCCATTATCTTTATTTTCAGAGACTGTGATGCTACAGGATGTGTGACCCAAGAAAAGGCAATCTGGACCCATCACACACATGAAAATGGCTATAATCCTCACTGTGTTTTCCTATTCTTCTTCAGAAGTATAGGGTTTGATTGTACAGTTCTCCTGGACTTCTTGATTTCCTCAGAGACCTGTTTTCTTGAGTACTTTGTTAGATATTTAAAATTACTTCAAAGAGACTGGAATAATTTCTTCACCATTTGCCAGTTCTTTGATGCATCGGAATGTCAGCATGGCATAAATAATCATGGTCAAGCTCCCTCACCGGTCCAAGACAGAAACACCAAACAGACAGCACCTCATTGTTTGAGTGCTTCTCAAAGTCACTCCAGTGCTAGCTCTGGGGTCTTGAGGCCATCTGATGATTCTCCTGAACTACTGGCTCAGGCTGGGATGGCCAAGCGTGCCCACACCAGAACCGATCGTCCTCTGCCTCCATCGCAGGCTTTGAGAAGTCTGGTGGCTTATGACAGCTCTGATGATTCTGAAGCGGAATCCACAGACCAGGGTCTAGCTCCCAGTAAGCAGACATCTTTGCCCCAAGAAGCAGTTAGGAAAATTCAGGACTCAACTGGAAGGAGTAAGGATGCAAATGAACTGGAGCCTCAGTCAAGGCTGCTTGTTCTAAAGGAATCTAATATTCCTTCCTCCCTTGATCATGAAGTAAACCCAGAAAATGCTGTCCTGGAAGTGGGGATATTTTACAGAATAGCAAGATGCTTTGAAGAGCTACAACATGCCATCTGCCGTTTACAAAAAAGAAATCTCTTCCCATATAATCCAGCTGCACTTCTGCGATTGTTAAAACATATAGAGGACATGTATAATAAAGTATGAATCTTTATTTCTAGAAATGGGATTCCTTAATATAAATTCTTCCTCAGTGAGATAGTACTACTGAAAAAGTGTGTTCTAAGTGAAATCTTTTTGTCTTGGATGTAATCCGGTACTCTATGAACATAATTTCTTTTTAAAAAAGGAAACAGCCGGGTGCCGGTGGCTTATGCCTATTGTAATCCTAGCTACTCAGGAGGCTGAGATCTGAGGATCACGGTTCAAAGCCAGCCCGGGCAGGAAAGTCTGTGAAACTATCTCAAATAAATCACCAAAAAACCAGAAGTGGTGCTGTGGCTCAAGTGGTAGAATGTTAGCCTTGAGCTGACGAGCTCAGGGACAGTGCCCAGGTCCAGAGTTCAAGCCCCATGACCGACCAAAAAAAAAAAAAAGGAAATAGGCTGGCACTCTATCACGTGGGCCAAAGCCTCCACTTCCTGACCTTTTGGTGACTAATTGTATTAAAGAGTCTCATAGACATTCATGTCCAAGCTGGTTTCAAATTAAGGTTCTCAAATCTCAGCCTCCTGAGTAACTAGGATTACAGGGGTTAGCTTCTGGCGCCTGGCTAGAGGATGATTTTTTTTTTTTTTTTACAAAAAGGAGGCAGTTTTAATAAAGATAAAAATAGGAATTAATGAAGTAGGAGTAGTAGTATGTCCAAAATTTCATTCCATGGAGGAAAAAATGAACAAAACAGACAAATCAGTAGGCAAATAAATACATAAAAGTGGAGCTCAAATATACAACATAGACATAAGGAGGTTTAAAAGATTGAATTCTTTCTTTTTTATGCTATTTTTTTTTTAATTTTATTTTATTTTATTTGTGAATAAACTGTACAGAGGGGTTACAATTGCATGGGCAGGATAATGTGTACATTTCTTACCAAGCATTGCAGCCTCCTCCTTTGTTTACCCTTCCCATCCCTTCCCAGCCTCCCCCCATAGAGGATGATTTTTATTTATTTATTTTTAGTAATTATGAGGTTTGATTTTCGAGCCTTGAACCTGCTAGGTAGGCTCTCTACCATGTGAGCCACACCTCCTCAAAAGTACAGTTATATTGTATAGTATAAATATTTGTGTATATTTATGAGCTACTATAATATTATAATTTGGTGCATATCTATAATATATAGGGCCAGGTTAGGGCTAAGGTAATTAGAATTCTCATCCCCACAAATATTTTCAATTCTAGGTATTAGGAACCCTCAAACACTTCTTGTAGTTATTTTGAAGTATATCTGCTGGTGTAGGCCATAGTTACCCTTCTATACTATGGAACATTAGAATAATTTATATGTCTGACTGTACTTTGGTCCCCATTTCCAGCCTCTACCCTTTCTATCCTAGGTGTGCGCTCTCCATGACCTATTGTCTGCTCTAACTCTTTAGTTTCCACATGTGAGTGAGAATCTGCAGTGTTTGTCCTTCCATGTCTAGCTCACCTCACTTACTATTTCTAACCATGTTGCTGGGAATGACAAGCTTTTCTTTGTAATGAAATAATCATTGTGTATTCATTGGTGTTTGCCCCGGTTGAGTCCATATTTTGGGTGTTGTGGGAAGAACACTGTAAACAGCCTGTAGGTAGCTCTGACATAGCTGTTTCATTTCCTTAAGGGATATATGAAGCAATTGTTGGATGTGAGGCTCACCAGCCATGAGTGAAAAGCCAAGCAAGCATACCAAGGGCCCTGACTAAACCACATCCCCAGATTAGATGGATGAGATAGACTGATGGATGGAGCGACAGATCAGTTGTGTGTGTGTGTGTGTGTGCAAGGAATCATAATAGTGGTTGATGTGAGAGGTCTGAAGTAGAATATTTGGTTGGCTCTTCAGGAGCTGAGATCTGAGGATTATACTTGGAAGCCAGCTCTGGCAAGAAAGTCAAGCCCTCGTACCTCCATGAAAATAAAAGGAAATGTTACTACTCATCTATCTTCTTGTTTCCTTACGTAGCTGGATAAATAACTTCATGGTGACAAATTTCCTTGGAAAGGAAAGCCGAATGGGTTCCAAGTCCCGCAGACCTGTATTGTTGTACACTTAATGCCAGTAAGGAGATGCCACCCCTTCTAAAATGAGGGACAAAATTAGCTTCAAGAGTGCTGAGTTGGAAGTATTTCGGAATGTCTTCATGTCTGATTGATTCTTGGTCTGGGTCAGTTAACCTGGGCACACACGTACTCCACATTACTAAAGTTGACCAGCGCAGCAAATGGTTCTCACGTGCTCCTTTGATTCGGGAAAAGATGCCGGGGCAAGGTCGGGACGGAAGTCAAGCTTTAGTCATCGGTAGCAGCAAAACGTCGTTCACAGGCCCATCAGCACACCTGCACATCCTGTCCTCCCATGGTGCCTGCCTAGACCCCCTTAGATGAAAATACCTGGCCCGGGATGGCCCCTGGACGCCGCGCATGCGCGCCCAGACTCAAAAGACTATTGGAAGGGGGGGGGCTACTTGGCGCATGCGCACTTGGCTCAAGGTGCCTGAATCAGCTGAATCCCAGTCCTTGGGAAAAGCAGGCCCAGCCCCCTCTGAGATCATGGTGAGAAAAGTCAGACCTATTCCTTTTACGCATCATGCATTGCAGGTCGTGGATTTAGATTCCAACCCAGAACAAATAATGCCTGTCTGCCCAGTGTGTTCCCAGTGGGCTCGTGGGAAACAATCTGGAAGCTTCCTCCTCCCAGTAAAAACAAGTGAGCACAGAAAGCCATGATCTTACTCTATTTGTTTTGACTTGGAGCACAAGAGATACAGAAACTTGTGTATGTAGAGGTACACAGCTAGCTGAGCTTTTAGAACTGGCCGCCTGCGGAATGAGCACCCAGGTCCAACACCGTCAGTGACTTGCACAAGTCCTTTTTTGACTTTCCAGCCAGTATCCACCCCTAAAAGCAACTTCATCTTCAACTGGGAGGATATAGATTAGCCTTACCTGCTGGTTTCATTTTATTTATAAAAATGGAATCCAAGTCTGTGAATATTCTTGTTTCTGGCTTCTTTTATTCAACATTGGGAGTCTAATCTTTTTTTTTAAGCTAATTAGTACCAGGCAGCAATGACTCACACCTAAAATCCTAAGTACTCAGGAGGCTGAGATCTGAGAATCACAATTAGAAGCCAGCTCAGACAAGAAAGTCTGTGAGACTTTTATCTTCAATTAACAAGATGTGGAGGTGTGTGGTAGAGCACCAGCCTCGAATGAAAAGCCTAAAGGAAAGCACTCAGGTTCTGAATGCAAGCCCTAGTGCAGACACAAAAGGGAAAAATAAAAGTACATTTTGGCTATTATTAGCAACGTATTGCTTTGGACTCCTCAAGACTATCTGTAGCACATTTGGATGTAGAGGGTGATGGGCAGGCCCAAAACAGGTTCCACGGGGCCTTGTGCAATTGGACTCAACCTGCCTCTCCAGCCCCACCCCTGCCTGGTCCTCCCACCCAGTCACTGTGTTGAGCAGCTCAATCTATTGTGCTTATATAGTCATTCATCAATCCTCCATTACAGGGGTGATTAGGTCTGAGAAGTCTCCACCATCTCTTCTGGGCCATTTGATTTAACAGGCTGTATGTTCTCAGCATATTGTGCTGTCTTCTAGGCTATTTTGATTCCATTGTCTTTGAGTGGCTAGTCACCAGTCTTTGACTTTGTATTTGTTGGCTCCTTTCTCCATTGTCTCCACGGCTAGCAATGGAAGCAACATAAGCCCACCACAAATATTAAGGGAGATAGGATACCTCTTCTGGGGAAGAGAGATGTCCAGGGAGTTGCAAATGTTAATTACACTGCACTACTTAGATGCTGCCCAGTATTGTAAGTGCTCCTCAGACCCCTGGTGGTAAAATTAGACAGTGGGCTCTATTATGAGCCCTTAATTTTCAGAATAGAAATTTTGTTTTTCAAATCTGGAGACTGAGCCCAGCCTTGTACTTGGAAAGCATGTACTCTTCCACTTGAACCACATTCCCAGCCCATTTTGCTTTTTATTAATTTTTTTTTAAATTTCAGATAGGGTTTGTGAGCTAACTTTGCCTGAGCTAGGTAAGATCCTCTGGTCTTTAGCTTCTGAGTAGCTGTAATTACAGGCATGTATCACCACACCCTGCAGATAAAGAGATTAAGAAACTTGTCTAAGATCACCCAACTGGTAAAATAGGAGAGCTGAGGTAATGGATCTAGGTAGGCTGGTTCCAGCATCCTGTCATTCTCTCTGTAATTTATTCCCTGTCCTCAAATCACAAAGTGATGGATGTATACTATTCAAATTGAAGCCGTTGCCATTTGGATCTGAGTGGTGGATGGTGATGTGTTAATCATACTAGAAAAGAATGTTAAAAGCCAAGTGGCCTATGAGCCTCTCTACTCAGGTGTCTGAGATCTGAGGACTACCATTCTGTGAGACTATTATCTCCAATTCACTAGCAAAAAGTCATAAGTGGAGGTATGGCTCAAGTGATAGAGTCCCAGTACCCAGGCCCTAAATTCAAGCCCCAGTACTGGCACAAAAAAAGAGGGGTGTATTAAGGTAATTATCCACAACTCTACGGTACCCATGCTAAGGAATTATGACAACTAGAGAATGAAGAGCTACTGAGATTTGGTTTGGTTTTGAGTAAAACAAAGAAAGCAACTTCTATGAAAATACAAAGCTAGAAGGACAAGCAAAGAGATTGTAAGTGTATTGCACCGGTTCCCTGGTGCTTGGGTAATGGGCCTGGAAAATGAAGATCTGAGCCTTCTGATTGAATTCCACATCTGGTGCCTCCCAATCCAGGACACTCCCCCCTTCCCCCCCCCCATCCCCAAGACAATAGCAAAGAAGCAACAAGATACACCAATATCAAGAGGGGAAAGCAGGAAAGGAGGAAGCACTTTTGAAACTCATGAGGGAGGATTACCTCTTAACTTTCAGACTAACTGCAGACTGAGTAGGCTTGAGAAAGCTTAATTCTATCTAGGATAAAGGAAGCAGAGCAGCAGCCTGAGGC